ACAAAGCTGGCAGACAACATGCAGTTCTAACCATCTCATTAGTAAATTAAGTTTATGATTTTGTCATGTTAACAATATATCAGAACAATTATTGAAACATATTATTTGTTTACTCTCTCTCTCTCTCTCTCTACGAATCTACGTATTTTATGGCAATGGGTGAATATTAAGCTGGTAGATCGCGTCAGGGTAACTGTGGAAAAAGTAGATCACATTACACAAAAGGTTGGCCACCCCTGATGTATAGTATATATCAGGTGCCTCAAAGAGAGCTCAGGTTCTCAACTGGCTCAGCCATGTTAATATTGTTATTATTATCCACTCTGTATCTGTATTTTTCTGGCTAAATAAACTGTTTCAATTCAATTCAATTCAATCACCATCACCCTCAGAGCATTGCCACAGTGATAGCACCATAACCATCACAGCACCATCGCCATCACACCGCCACTATAGATATGGCATCACTACCAAAACATCAAAACTGTAACAATATCACAACTAAAACGCCTCCTCAAAACACACACACACACACACACCACAAACAGAGCATCAGGAACAACAGCATCGGAAGGTGGTCGTGACACACACACACACACAGACACCGCCAGCCTCAACTGCGTAGTGACTTTGCCTGACAACCGCTCCTCCGCCTGGCGATATCAGGAACAGTTTTATAGAGGGTAAAGCTATCCTCTTTGTTTTATGGTGTGTGTGGTTGTCGAAATCTCACACCGCATTCTTTATTTCTCCCACGAGGTACAGGAATGGGACCCCCACACCACAGCATCACCAAGTCAGGAGTGGGGAGGGAGGATATTAGGTCGAGTGGGTAAAAGAAGTTAAGAAAATTTGCCACATGAGACAGAGATACATACATATATATATCATCATCATCATCACGTGGTCGAACCCTGGACATGAGTTAATGAGGACGAGTCACTGCTGGGAGAACGCTGTCAGGTGTTTATGTTTACAGAAGCGTCACGGTGAAAATAACTGAGAACACTATTTTTTTATTATTATTCCAGATCGACTGAACATTAGGCACCCTAGTTTATTTCACCATAATTATACCTGGAGGGGTGGTTGGGGGTTGGGTGGGGTTAGGTTAGGTTATTGGGCCCATTAAGTAAGGATGAGGCCCCAATGATATATGGTTGGGGGCCCTCAGCTGTTCCATGGCATTATCGCGCCGTGTTATCAGGAGTTAATGGAGCACTTGGTAACACCGCGAGTCTGAGTCACCTCTCACGCATACTGATACACTAACTCCCACAACCTAACCTAACCCAAACCTCTGGATGTCATTAACCTGTGTGAGGAATGTAAACAACAATAACAACAAACATAAACAAGAGAATAAAGCAGAGAGGAACTGAAGCTCTTTAACGCCATGTCTGCAATTCAAGGTGCCTTTGTTTACACCAGGGGCGACCTTGACACTCTCTCTCTCTCTCTCTCTCTCTCTCACGCCAGACAAGGGGAAAAGATGTCTCTAAACTTGATTTAATTTACTTAATAATTTTTCAACATTTTATTAATAATTATAATTATTAATAAAATTGATCGATAATTATCGGCCAATTTACTTGTTTCTTTCGCGGTTTTTTTATTTAGTTAATTATTCTTTATCCTTTACTTATTATCTCCACACTTCACTTTCTTATCTTACTCATTCACTCACTCACTCACTCACTCACTCACTCACTCCACCACTCACTCCCACTCCTTATTGACCCTTAAACGTATACCTACACACAGACGCCCCCCAACTGACGCTGTTAAGTAGATAAAAATAGCATCAATTTCCTACAGTCTTCATAACAGATTTTAATTGTTTAGATTTTTTATTCAGGTTAGGTTAGGTTAAGTTAGAGTTGCGTTAGGTTACGTTATGTTAGATTAGGTTAGGTTAGGTTAAAGAGAAAGATACAATGAATAATTACATGTACACAACTAGTTCTTTTAAACGCAATAACAAGTGTGGGAGGAGGATGTAATGACCTCATCTTACAAAACTAGTCATCGTTTTATCAATATCTCCCCCCCCCCTCACCCCGCCCTCTTATCTGCATCCTGTTGTGTGTGTGTGTGTGTGTGTGTGTGTGTGTGTGAGTTCGTAAATTGTGTCCTTAAATGGGTTGGAGTGAGCGCCTCTGCCTCTGACTCACTCCGTTAACTCTTATACCTAAATATGGAGTGATAATAGTCCGCAGATCACCTGAAGGTTAGGTTAGGTTAGGTTAGTTACGCTAGATTAGATTAGATCAATTAGGTTAGGTAATCCGTAGAGATGTTCAACTCCACTGATCAGGTTGTGTTGTTTACAGATGGGGGCGGGAGGTGGGCGGGGCGTAGAGTAAGGTGGGCGGGGCGTAGAGTAAGGTGGGGCGAGGCCAAGGCTGGCATTACGGTACGGTACGGTACGGTTGATATTTAGTCAGAACGTATGGTACGGAATTACGGTACGATATTTTCCTTGAAGTACGGCACGGTACGAATTAGGTACGGAAAAATGAGCAAAATTCGTACCGTACCGTGCACCAGGCTTAAAACATGATCATGCAATTATTAACCTCTTGAGGATTGTGACGCATTTTGACAGTTTATTCTGGCGATCATTGAACTTTTATGCAGCTTAGGAAGGATTTATGGGAATAAACAGTATAGACTAGCTGAATTAGCCATCTGTCTAGTGTCTTTCATATACCCTACCTAAATTGAATAAAATCATCTAATAATAGTCAGAAAAGAGAAAAGAAATGTGTCATCGATCTCGAACATAAGGTGAAAATTAAAATATATACTATTAATAATATTTATTATATTTACTCACTATTTATTATTATTATTATTATTATTAGCAGTAGTAGTAGTATTAGTATCAATATCATTGATATTTTTATTATTATGAAAATTATTCTTATTACAATTTAATATTTTTCTGGCTACAGGCTAATACAATTTATCTCCAGTGTCCAGTCAAGTTCAACACAGCACATTTACATCTATAGTCACTTCGTAAATGTTCCTTTTCAAATCCACACATGTACTCTAAAAAAATTTTCACAAATAGAGAATTATTTTGATGTAAATATATTTTGCTGATGGCACGATAAAAGTACGGAATTACGGTACGGCATTCTCCGTGCTGTACGGTACCGGAAAAATAATTTGAGGGTACAATTTACGAAATTACGGTACAGTATTTAAGAGTACGGAGCGGAAAAATATTCCGTACCGTACCGTACTACCAGCCTTGGGCGAGCACGGGTAAGGTGGGCAGGCGTGGAGTAAGGTGGGCAGGCGTGGAGTAAGGTGGGGCGGGCGTGGAGTAAGGTGGGGCGAGGCGTGGAGTAAGGTGGGCGAGGCGTGGAGTAGATGGGCGAGGTAATGCTGAGATAAAGGTGGGGCGAGGCGTAGAAGTAGGGTGGGCAGGCATGGGTAAGGTGGGGCTAGGTGTGGAGTAAGGTGGGGCGAGGGGTGGAGTAAGGTGGGCAGGGCGTAGAGGAAGGTGGGGCAGGCGTGGGTAAAGGTGGGGCGAGGCGTGGGTAAGGTGGGCGAGGCGTGGAGTAAGGTGGGGCGAGGCGTAGAGTGGGTGGGGCGAGGCGTAGAGTAAGGTGGGGCGAGGCGTAGAGTGGGTGGGGCGGGGCATGGAGTAGGTGGGGCAGGTGTGGAGTAGGTGGGCAGGCGTGGGTAAGGTGGGGCAGGCATACAGTAAGGTGGGCAGGCGTGGAGTAAGGTGGGCAGGCATGGAGTAAGGTGGGGCGTGGGTAAGGTGGGGCGAGGGTGGAGTAAGGTGGGGCAGGGTTAGATGGGGTGGGCAGGCGTAGAGTAAGGTGGGGCGGGCGTAAGTAAGGTGGGGCAGGCGTGGAGTAGGTGGGCCGAGGTGTGTGTGGAGTGGGTGGGCGAGGCGTGGAGTAAGGTGGGGCAGGCATACAGTAGGTGGGCAGGCGTGGGTAAGGTGGGCAGGCATGGAGTAGGTGGGGCGTGGAGTAAGGTGGGGCGAGGGGTGGAGTAGGTGGGGCGAGGTGGAGTAAGGTGGGCGAGGCGTGGAGATGGGTGGGGCAGAGAAAGGTGAGGAGAGCGTGGAGTAAGGTGGGGCGAGGCGTGGGCAGGTGGGAGCGAGCGTAAGTAAGGTGGGGCGAGGCGTAGAGTAAGGTGGGGCAGGCGTAGAGTGGGTGGTGTGGGTGTTGTAGTGGTGTGTGGGTGTTGTAGTGGTGTGTGGGTGTTGTAGTG